GGCGTGCGAGAGGGGAGGGCTGCAGGACGATGGCGCGCGGCGTGCGAGAGGGGAGGGCTGTGGAGGTTCGTGGCAATGCGTCTTTCACTGCAATGTTATATTTTGTTATATTTTGAATGTTATAAATGTTATATTTTGAATTTAAGCATTAATTGTATTTTTTTTTTATCAGACCGTGTATCAGTAAGTCACTTAGAAGCCAGAGCTGTGCGACGGCCATCTGGCTGCGATGGAACCCTGGGGCCACCGAGGCCACCCTTCTCCCTGCTCTGGCCGCTCTGGTCCCCACTGCCACACCGAGAGCAGGCAGGCAGGGTGCTGAGAGGAAACCCTGGGCTTCCGAACAGAACAGCGGCTGTTTGTTAAATCGAGAGCAGTTTGGGAGAACCTTTTAGAAACTGCTTAAGGCAAGAGCATTATTCACTTTTACATTTAAACAAGAGTTTAGCTTTTTTTTTGCTTATATTAAAGCAAGGTAATATTGTTCATAAAATAATCACAAAACAACACAAGACAGTGTTAGAACTAAGCCGGTGGTGGTACCAGGCAAAACACAACAGTCCCAAAGGGAAAGGAAAAGTGTTGGTCCGTGACCTCACATCGGCTCACAGAGTAATAGGCTTTGCGGCACTTGCAAAGCGTCCTCAAACTGTTCACTTTAAACAGGGATCCTCAAATTGTTTTTTAAAAATTTATTTCAAATTGCAAATGCAAAACCCCAATTATACAGTTTTTTAAAAATTGGTAAAAGCCACTGAAGGATTGTATTTGAGCAAGATTTAGTACAAATGAACCCTGCAAATTGTATTAGGCAGAAGTGAGACAGCATCTAAATGCAGTCATTAGGGGTTGCTAAATCAATAGTACTCGATATGCAGCAGGGTGTGAAGACACTTTTTAACCGTTGTTCTGGGCGATGCTACTGACATCTAAAGAGGGAGGCCAGGGGCAGTGCAGGGGACAGTCCCTTACTCCAGGCGGGGAGCGTGTGGTGTGGCTAAGGAGCCCTGGCTTAAGGCCTAGGCACTCTGCGGGATGCTACCTAGCCATAAAAGCAGTCTCGTAGAAGAGTGATTCTCGGTCTGACTGTATAGTAGGATATGCAGCAAATTACTTCTTTAAAAGGCCTCATTTAGGGTCAGGTAGACGCGCTGGTGCATTCCTACAATTCCAGCACTTAGGCTGAGGCAGGAGGATTGCCACGAGTCCGAGACCGGCCTGTGCTACCTAGTGAGTTCAAGGTCATTTTCAACTTCACTGCCGTAGCAAGATCCGGCCGTCTCGTCCCCAGAGCCCAGGAAGTACTGTCCTCCTAGCACCATGGTCAGGAGTGGCCTGCAGGACATATCCGACCCATCTTCCTGTGAGGACCTTGAGAGCTGGGAACACGAGGCGCATGCTGCACGGACACAGCGAAGCACAGCGATAAGCAGCATGCCGCCTTGGGCAGCTCGTCAGCTGTCGTTACGGCCTCTGCACGCCACAAGGCATCTCTCACACAGGAACTCAGGAGGGACTTGGGGAGGTGTGGGCCGAAGGAGTGGCACGAAGCTTGGATTATGAGGTGAGTATGTACTGGTTGAAACACTGTGTCAACTTGAGAAGTTCAATTACTTGACTCGGAGAGCCAGGGTTCTTACTTTGTAAACATCCTCATCCTGTGCAAGAGGAGGGCAGAGAGTTCTACAGCCCGGGACCAGGAAGCCTGCGTGTAATGTAAGGTAAGGAGGGGAGAGAGGCTGGCCAGAAGCCGCAGCTGCTGCCCTGCCTTTGCTCTTCGCTGTTTTCTGCTGCCATGAACTGCTGCTCTCTGCCATGAGCCACTCTGCCTGGGAGCCAGCCATAGACTGAAACCTCCACTAACTGCGAGCTAAATAACCTTTCCTGCCTTAAATTTGGGTGTTGGGTATTTTTGCCCCAACAATGAGTGAAAAGTAACTGAGACATTGATGTTTACAGTTAATGAAGACGCACCCTTGGAGTCACTAAGATCCATTTAAGTGTTCTCACTACGCTGAGAGAGAAAGAGTAAGAGGAGGAGGACGAGGGGGAGGAGGAGAGGGAGGAGGAAGGGGAGGAGGGGTAGGGAGAGGAAGGCAGAGAGGGAGGGACAGAGAGAGAACAAGGTAAAATAGAATACCCTGCATGTTCTGTGGCGAGTGTGGTGATGTAGGTTGACTGTGGCAGACATTTAAAACGTATGTCTGCGTCAGCTGCCACACTGTACCCCTTAAGATGCGCACTTTTGATTTGTCCCCATTGAGGGAAACACAGGCTTGAGCCCTCCGTCCCCGTCTACCACCGCGCCACGGTCCCAGCCTCTCCAGGCTTCCTGCTGGGTTTCTGGTTCCGCCTGCCCAGCGGGTGCTGTCCTTAGCGTCCCGGCCAGCCGGGCGGCTGCAGCCCCTGCCACTCAGGTGCCCTGCTCCCCCCGGCACCCTCCCCGAGCGCCCCCGCCCACCCGGCCTGGCTGCAGACACACGGTCCCCACGGGCCGCATCGCAGCTGCCCTCCAGTGCTGGCGCTCTTGGCCCGAGCCCCGAGCCTCACACCCTGGACAGGAGAGCCTGCTCGGGGCTAGCGCGGCAAACGCCTCCGGTTTCTTTGTATTGCTTTCTTCGGACCCTGATCTGCCAGTAAGGAAACCATTCCTACTGCACGCATTTTCATTCCTATTTGCTATAATGACATCTGTAGGGCAGAAACCGCAGAATTGTCTGTGCTGTTCCAAAGAATAGCATCTTTCAAAGCCTTCAGCAGAATCCACGTTTATGGATGTAGTTTGGGAATTACACAAGTCTTCCCAGCTCCCGGTTGGAAAAGGAGAAGCTTCCGGGTGGACAGCACAGGAGGAAACTCTTCCCCCTGGTCCGCTGTGCGTGTGCGGACTTCCCTGTCCCCAGCGTTCCCTGCGGCCGCCTCTGTCTCAGGGTCGCGACATGACCCTGCGCCTCAGGCTGCGCTGAGCTTCCTTCCTCCCCCGCTCCCACAGCAGCACCCACTCGCGCCACGGCCACGTGGAACAGACCCCACGCACCTTGTAGTGGAACAGGAACAACCCGCAGAACAGGCTGTACAGGTCCGCCGTGAGCAGGGAGAGGTTGACGGCGGTGGCGCTGGTCTTCTTGATGACGATGGGCATAAAGCTGTAGAGACCGAACATGCAGGCGCTGAAGCCCACGTAGAGCAGCCCTGGGGGCAGAGAGAGCGTCACACGGGCGGCGGCCGCAGGGACAAGGGCAGCGGCCCCTAGCGCGCTCCCCTCCCCTCCCTGCCGCCCCCTGGCTAACCCTGCGCAAGCAGGACGGGGAGCAGTCCACGCGCACATTTGGACAGTGAGCTTGCTGTGCCTTGCTACGTGGCTGGTGTCTGCTCTTCTGGAAAGGCAGGCACGCTAATGTCCAGCCGGGTTCTATCAGCAGGCTGGCTGCATTAACGGATTTTGTCTTTTTGAGACAGGGTTTCGCCGTGCAGTCCAGGCTGCCTTGAACTCACTTGGTAGCCTAGGTTGGTCTTGAACTCACAGTGATCCCCCCACATCTGCCTCACTGCCACTAACTTTGCTACCCATATATTTGAAGCCTTTTAACTTCTTGGACTTTTAATTGTAAAATAGGAACACCTCTGTTCAGTATCATGTATTGTCATAATTGTGAACAACTGCGTAATTGTTGAAATGCCAGAGCTGACCTGTCACAGTGCGTGTGAGGTCCCGCAGCCCCGGCTGTGGCCCTGGCGACCCACTCCTCACTCTGGGGTGGAGAGCTGTCAGGCTCAAGCCCAGGCATTCTGTCCAGCCCTGCACAAGACAGGGAGCCCTGCCTTCCCCGCCTCGTGGGCTCCTGGCTGTGAGCCACCTGCAAAGTGCCCTGAGGCTGCCCTCGCCGTCCACATGTGTCCACGCGTACACTGGGTGAGACAAACTCCAGGTCTCAGCTTTGCGGGGTCCCAGGCAGACGTTTACATTCTGCTTTTATTTTGACCAACTTACATGCTTTTATCTGTAATCTAGGCAACTACGTGGAAGACAGCAGTGCACAGTATCACAGCCACGGCTGAATACTGCCATCTGATCTTCTTAAAATTGTGCGTTGCTTCTCAGATCTTGTCTATTCTCTTTTAAAGATAAATAAAAAGTTTACGTTCTAAAATGTGCTGTGTCTTTTCCCAGATGTTGCTACAGTGCAAATGTAGAAAAATAAGGCTCATTCTCTACCTTGCAAGAACAAGGGGCAGACGAGCAACGTTCAGTGGACGTTCCCAAGGCCCCGGTTCAGGCGCCTGGCACTGGCTGAGGCCAACTGGTTTTCCCTGAATCCTATAAAATTTGGAGTGATTTAGCAGGGAGTGGGTTTCCAGTCCCTCGGATTTCCAGAGACCAGTGATTCCTCCAGAGAGAAATTTGGTTTGCTTCTCTGAAATGTAGTGGGGGCATAAACTTTCGTTCTGTATTTTTCTGATTGAAAGTGCAAGAAAAATCACATCAAAAATAATAAATCAAAAAGAAAAGACCGATATAAAAATTACTTTGTGAACAGACGGCGTGACCGCGCCCTCTAGTGGGGAGGATGCGCGCCCGCACGAGGCCCGGAGTCCCTGAGCACGCCCGCCGCCCACGTTCTGCCGCGGCTGACCGCCCGGCTCCGGGGCAAGAAGTCTCAGCGCTGGCCGCGGGCCGCCTCCCTGCCCTTGGCTTTCGCAAGGCTTGTAGCCCTTTTCCCTTTACCCGAGTTACTAAAACCTCAATAAACACTCCACAACCCACGACTGAACCTGCAAAGACACATGAGCTAAACCACCATTCCTTAAAGAAATCTGCGACCAGCACGCCGGAGACAAGACTCATCCATGAAGCTGTCCACTGCAGAGAGTCGAACTTGGCCAGCGCGCAGCCCCGACACAGCAGGCTCTTGGCACTGGCGACCCCGGCTTGGAGGACGCAGCGACCGAGCTAAAGTTCCAGAGCCCCTGGGTTACGGTGTGCGCCCAGACGCCCCCGCCTAGGGTGCCCGCCTGGCCTCAGCGGAGGGGCCGCAGTGCAGCGGGCAGCCGGGGCTCCTCCCCTCCCTCCCTGCTTGCTTGGGGTCAGCCCTTCCCCAGCCTGACTTCCCAGGGCGCCCAGCCCCGGCGGGAGGCCAGGGTGTGCAGCAGCTTCCAGGGGCCTCCAGATGGAACATTCTCGAAGCTGCAGGAATCTGATCTAGTACACACGCATGGCCACAGTTGCGGGCCTTTGCTAGGTCGAGGAGAGTGCTGGGGTACAGACGCTGTTCTGTGCGTGAGACCGGCAGCCCTGCGGGACCACGATTAGCGGGGCACAGGAGTGCAGCACGTTGCACTGTGCGGATTTCTGGTCCTAGACGATGTCAGCGGCTACTGGGTGTCAGCATGGGTCAGTCTGAGGATCCAACCTGCCATCCATGTGGGGTCCCAACTGGTCAACACGGGCAGACAAATGACCCGAATCACTTTTCAGCTGGCATAATTGCAGCAGTAATTACAGTTCTAGACCACTGTGTGTCCAACCATCTATTTGAAGTATTTTTTCATAAAGACAATGTGTGGTCACTCTCTTTCCTTCTGTACCAAAGAGATTTAAACTAAGGAGACTGATAGTATTACCACTGGCTGGTACTCATGCTGTGCATGCGTGCTGGACATAGACTTGCTACACCCCACAGTACCATACCCCTCAGCACAGGGAAGGGTCAGGCTGCAGAGGTGACAGCGAGGGGACACAGCCTGGCCAGGTTCAGCAGGGTAATGCTGTGAAGCACAGACTGCCCAGCCATCGATCTGGAGGTGGGGGATTGGAGAGGAGGGGGAGCAGGAGGGTGCTCCGCCAGTGGCTGGAGGAGTGTAGGCAGGGGGCTCTGGGGCGCAGAAAAGAGCTGGGGAGGTCCCACAGGCAGAGCCGGAGACTCTGCCATTTCTGGAGATCTGACCCAAACAACTGCAAGTGGAGAAACACTTGGTTTCCACCACCCATCTCCTTCTTCTGGCCAGCCCTGCCCGGGAACCAGTGGCCGGGGCTGCAGGGCCAGGATCCTCGCCTGAGCAGAGCAGGTGGGGAAATGCGCGTGAGAAGCAGGCAGGGACCCCTGCCCTGGGATTCAGCCCGCCCTCAAATCCTGAGCGCAGACCCTCATCACACTGAAGTCTCATGGAGTGCGGCGAGGACTGGGAGCAGCACGGAGCTGGAGTGCCACGAGCGCCTCATTTTACATGGGGTTCACATACCACAGCACATAGGACGAGTGCCTGTGTACACTGCACGTGTTTTACCTCGTCTCTTTATTTGGCTCCCATGAGTATTTTGTCTTTTTCTTTTGTATGCACTAAATTTCTAAAATATTATTTTTAATTCTTAAAAGCAATGGCTGGGTAAGATGATGTCTTGGAGCACATTTGTTAGGCTAAGCTGTGGCTCCGTCTTGTCCAGGATGCCAGGCCCACCCAGGTACTGCATGCCAGGCCTTGGGTCCATGCTGGTCACAGCAGACATGCTCCTGACCGGCTCCAGTGCTCCCTGCTCTGTGCGCTCACTGTCCCGGGCAGCTTCGGGGCCAGGCCCAGCTATGAGCTCTGGCCTGTGGTAGTGAAAACCCGCAACAAGAATCCACCACCGCAGTCGAAGTTAAGCCGCACCTGAGATCTAGTGGGCCGTCCATCACACCCCAAGATCTAGCAGGCCGGCTGTTGTACCCCAAGATCTAGTGGGCCGGCCATTGCACCCCAAGATCTAGTGGGCTGTCGTACCCCAAGATTAGTGGGCTGTCGCACCCCAAGATCTAGTGGGCCGGTCGTTGCATGCTTTTCTTCCCTGGGGAGCCTCACTTTCAAATCAGCTTGCTTGTTCATACAGCCGCTAGCACTGCACGGCGAAGGGCATGAAAGGAATAGAAAGGCGGTGTATTAGATTTCTGGCTGTGGGTTTGAGTGCACCTCCGCTGTAACAATTTCCACATTTGACTTGGGTTTACTGGTTAGCTGAACACAACCAACCTCTGCATCCAGCAGAGCAAAATGAACAATAGCAGCTATTGTTTTCTTGCTTCTAGTCAGCCTGTGTCTTGCAACTGACCAGGGTTGTAGAGAGATAACAATCCATTAAAACAGTGTCTTGAAGTCAAAAACCAAGATATGTACTAGGCCGCTTATCCACAGAGGAAAACATGTACTGTGCCACTTATCCAAGGAGGAAAAACACCTTCCTGCTTTGGCAAAGTGAAACAACGTGGGCTGTCCAGGGACTGTCTGAGGCTGATCAGTGTCATGGAAAGAGACACATTGAGCTCTGTTCTCTTAACATGGGGGTGCAGGGGCAGGAGGGCGCAAGAGGATGCTAATGGTCCCCTGCCTCTGTGGTCCTCGAGGCGCAGTGGCTGCCCCGAGGCTGCTGGGCCCCAGCAGGAGGTGCCAGGTCCCCGAATCTGTGCATCTGCCAGAGGACGCACAGCAGCACCCAGCGCCCCCCTCGCTGGTGCATTTGCTCACTGAATAGGCAGAGTCTCGGAACACCATCTGCCTGGAGCTGAGCTAGGCACACAGTGTCACTGTGGACCAAGCGGGACAGAGGGGGCCCAGTGTCACCGGCCAAGCCTCGGGCAGCTTCAGACAGAACAGGAGGAGGCTGCGCAGCCTGCCCACCACTGTTCCAGGGCCACTGGGGTGCCTCCAGGATGAGCTCCTTCTACCCATCCTCACAGCCCAGGACTTCGGGCACTGACATTTTAATGGCAAGCCTAAGATCCCAGAGTAAAGCCACCTTTTGAGGACACATTTGACTAAAAGCAATTATCACAGGTTTTCTATGGACATGCGTCTGTACCCACAGTTAGAGGACGCATTCTTCTGGAGCACTGCTATTCCCTTCAACAGCACACTAATTTATCCTCAGACGTCCCACATGAAGTGCTGCTAGGCCGGGGTCACCTTGGGCGTGGGCCTGGAGTCTCGGAGGCAGATGACCCTGGCCCCTGCAGCCTCTGCTCCTCCCCCTCACCTCGCTGGTGCTTTTTGTGTAATTACAGAGTTTTGTGCCGTGCTGGGGAAAATGGAAGTGGCAAGACTGACAGACACGAGGGCTCGGTGACCACTGAAGCCCCGAGAAAGCCCTCGGGTGGTCGTTGTGCTTCTGCAGGTCGTAGGCTGCCATGCCAGGGCATGGTGCTGGCAGCAAGTGGCCAGATGCTGAGGGACTGGAGGTGGGCGGTCACGTGGTGCAGGGTGTGTCTGCCATTGCTGCCCTTCCTCACAGGAGGGGGACGTGACTGAAGCTGTCTGTGCCACCAGACGTGTGGCCAGCCTCGGTGTGGCCATGTCTGTGTCTACTCTGCAACCCTCCCCATGCTGCTTTCCAGCCTGGCTGTGTCACCCCTGGGACCCTGTGCCTCGGGGGTACCTGCGGGGAGCTGGAGAGCACCAGCGCAGCCTTTCTGGTGGCTTCAGCGTCACCAGGCCCTGAGCCCTGGTCCTCCACTTGGAAACAAAAGTGAGGGAGGCGCAGGTGGTGTCAGAGATGCCCTGGGTGACAGCTGACGGGCTCCATGTGGACGTGGCCTCTGCTGAGCCCTCCCAGAGAGGGACCAGCCACCTGCTAGGAGCGAGCCGCTCCCTTCTGCCTGGTGTCATGGGTGCAGAATGCCCATACTGTTCCCTATCGTGCTTTTGCCGTTGCATTCCATGCTTCCTCATTACTAAAGTGCTGTTCTTTAGAGATCACATCAGTCCGTGTTTTGCGGCCCCTCTGCACTACTGTGCCTCGGGGAGTGCTCTTTCTACTTCTCAGCCTGGTGACGCCCTCCCCTCACCCCGCTGGCCCTGGCGGTGCTCCTGCACAGACGCTCACTGGGAAGCGGAGGAGCCCTGAGGCCCAGGCCCAGGCCCCAAGAGCCCCAGGAGGACAAGGGGCCCCAGCTTTGTCTCCCACCTGCTTCCGTCCTCCCCAACCCCGTGGCTCGTCACACGTACTTCTCAGCACCGGCACTGCGGACAGTGCCTGGCTGCGCAGCCTTACCTATCTGCCAGTCCCAGGGGACCTTCAGCAGCTCCTTGTGCTCCATGATGGCTCTGCAGGGCAAAGACAGTGGGCATGGTGAGCAAGGCCCCTGCGCTCTGCTCCCTTTCTTTACTGTATTCATGCAAAGGATGCTTCCTGCTGACCTGCAGCTGTGACTTTGGGCCACATGGAGGCAGCGGGGCTTATCCTGTAGGCCTGGCCCGGTGTGGCTGGTGGTGGGCTCGGTGGGCCTGGGGGGCTCGGCAGACCCCACAACCTCGCTGTTCACTCATCCACGCCTGCCACAGCCTGGCCCCTCGGGCGCAGGGGCAGGGTTCCTAGTCATACCTGTCACAGGTGAGCACGCTCAGCACCCTGCACTGGGAGTCCCAGGCTCCAGAGGGAGTCAGGTGCCCTGGGACCGCCCCACCACTCACAGTGTTCCTGGAGTGCCCACTTTCCAGAGTCCCCAGGGGCCCAGTCCAAGGTGGTGGGCTGTAGGGGAAGCAAGAGAGCGCTGGCCTCTGAGCCGGTGCCTCGGACTCAGGACCGAAAGCCGCAAGAGCAGCGTCCTTCTGCAAAGATAGGCACTGCAGCCATGTGGGGTGTGGGGTGAGTCCTTTCCTCTCACCACACCCTCGAGCTTTCAAAATGTACCCCAATAAGGCCTCCAGAGGCTTTTTCCATTTCTGTGTCTTTTTGCTATGGAGTGTTTTTGTTTTGTTTTGTTTTTCTTTGCTTGTGATGTTGGAGATTGGATCCACACTGAGTTGCCTCTCCAGATTTTTCTATTTTTTGAGACAGGATTTCGTTAAGTTACTAAGTTGCCTAGGCTGGACTTGAACTTGTGATCCTCCTGTCTCAGCCTCTCAGAGTGTGCACAGGGACCTCTGGCTTGCTCTGGAGGTTTTTTGTGTGTTGGGGGGGCATGTTGCTTCTTTTACCAGTATCTCAGGACACCAAAATTTGGAGGATTGCTGGAAGCAGACTAACTGTGTCTAAGGTGGTTCAGAAACATCTTCCAGGCATAATTTCCGACACGGAACCAATACAATTACAAAGTGCTTATTTGTAGGAAGAAATGTGGCAAACTAGGAATTACACTCTTGTGGAAAAGCAGTCGGTGACCTTCCGCTGGAGCTTGTGCTTCCCTAACCTTACATAACGGTCCTTACACGGACCTACGAGAACGGACAGAAGATTATTCCTTCTTCGATCCTTATTTTATCAATAAATGTTCAGACACCAAGTGATGCTTTAAGTGATGGCTTATTTGCTTCAGAATTATTGCAAAACTGGTGCTCTGGCCTTTTTGATCCTTAGTGAATGTTTGTCTTCTATCTATTTTTTTTTTTTTTCATTTATGTATTTGGCACAGGGTCTCCTACGCAGTGCGGATGCGTGCTGATCCTCCTGTTTTCAGCCTCCCTAGCGCTGGGATTACAGGTGTGTGCCACCATGCCTGGACTCATTCGCTGGCTCAGCACATCCCAGGGGCAGGGCTGGCATGTGGGACCAGGGATCAAACCTTGGTCCCTGCGCTTGCCTACGCAGGCGCTTAGTCCACTGAGCTATCTGGCCAGCCCTCTATTTTTATTTTTTTAAGGAAAGTGGACATCCTAAATTGTACAGAGTAAATTTGAAGTATGGATTATTTTCATACATCCATGGGCAATAAAAGAATGAAGTTTTAACAGGCAATTTTAAACTATGAGTTTCCTAGCAGCTACTAGTTTACATCACCAGTAAACAAGATGTCTCTCCCAGAAGTGCATTGCCTTGCGATTGCCGCGTCCACACTTAATTTTTCTGCTTCTCTAATAACTCACTCGATGGTTTGGGAGAATGGAAGTCCTTCTAACATCTTCTCATGAGTTATCTTCAAGGCTCATTAAATGTTTTATAATAGTTTATAATACTCTTGTCTAGTGTGAGGAAAATTCACCAAGAAATGTGCAGATTTGGTGGGAGCTCTGCGGAGGCTAGAGGCCACGCTGTGGTCCTGCTCTTTATGCCCACAGACGGGCGGTAGAGCCGCCCTCGCCCCCACGGCGCTCACTGGCCGCTTTACTCACAGTTGAATTCCACTGAAGAAGGCACCGAACAGCCCGATCATGCCCAGGAACTCCACGCGGCTCAGAGTGCGGACGATGTACTCCTCCCAGACGTTAGAGATGCCGTACAGTGTGGCCCCTCCCAGCACCAGCAGGTCCCCCACCAGCTTATTCTCCCCTGGGACCGAGAGAGCACAGGGAGCCCCGTTAGTGGAACCTGGGGCCAGCAACTGAGCCCCGGCCCATCCCAGTCCTGCCGGAGGCCCACAGTTTTCGGGAGGGCGTGGTCTGTGCTCGCCCTACGTGTGGGCTGCTGCCAGCACCGCCAGGCCAGCAGCCTGGAAGTCCCCTCCCTGGGAAGCACTAGAGTCTCCTTCATCCATCCTCACCACGGAGCTGGGGTGCAGGGCCCAGGCATGTCTCTGTGAGCAGAGAGGCCGGCGCTGCTGACCTGCCGCTCCCCAGGGTGCTCTGTAACCCCAGGTGTGCAGGCTGGAAGCCGTCTGGCCCTCTGCCCTGGGGGAGGTGAGAGTTGGGCCAGCTCCTTGGCAGGCAGCGGGATCAAACGGACCTGGGCTGACGCTTTGTCCCCAAAGTAGAGACACAAAAAAGGAGAATAAAAAAGCTGTTTCCAGCTTAGTTTTGGCTTTGCTTCCTGTCCAATGTTTGAGCAGTGTGCTGCCTAGTGTTTTCTGCAGTCAGGTGCACTCCCCACTTGGGGAGGAGAGGAGAGGAGCCCAGGACGGAGGAGCCCAGGACGCAGCAGCCAAGCCTAGTGGAAGAGGCCAGACCCCCAGGTGCAGTGCTGGTGGGCAGCTCCGGCCCCTCAGATGCACAGTGGGCCCTGCCTGGGTGGGCCGAGCACACTGGGTGTGTGCAGCTTCCCAGAAAAGGCCGAGGCCGGCCTGTGGGGCCGTCGCCTTGGAAGGCCCTATAAGTTCCTCCTGGCCCATGTGACTTGTGGCCGCCAAGGGTGTGGGCTGTGACTTAGCCCTGCGTTCCATGTGATCCCAAGTATGGCTCTCGAAACAGGACAGGCTCTCAGTGGTACCCACAAGTCATGCTGAGGGAGCACCCTCCACCACCCTGTGGTAAGAGGGCTGAGCACACTTGCGCCCAGTCCGGGTGGTGCTGCAGAGAATGACACCTTCACTTCTGAACCATGCATTTAGTGGTGGGCAGGCCAGGGGTCTTTCTGAACTTCTTTCCTTACCTTAAATGTAGTTGTTGTACAAACACTAACACTTGTAAACTGCGTAGTGTGTATCTGGCACTTCTGAGGTGCTCACAGATGGGTTTAGAAAGCCAGCTGGTCACCTAGAGAGCGACCACCATTGCCTGGGTGAACCGTTCCCCTTCCCACAGCTCCTTGATTCGCACCCACTCAGTTGTGAGTGCTTTGCGGGAACTGCGTTCCCTCCCTGGAGCCTTGTTTCATTAGCCAGAAGTCCTGTTTGGAGGCTTACGTAGGCGTGAACAGTGGTGGGGGCAAGGGGGAAAGGTCATTTGAAATCACTCCTTACCACTGTGCCGAGCGCTAATCCCAAAGGGCAGCAAGAGCGGCTCATGCCCATGTGCCCATCCACCACATGCCTGAGGCACTCCCGAAGCCACAAGCAGGGCACGAGAGCCAGATTTCCCACCCTCCATCCACCCAGGAGCACGCGTCAAGACTGCTTGCACCCTTGTTTCTGGTGCAGAGTGAACACGGCAGGTGGAGCACAGCCTGGCGGGGCGGGGGGGGGGGGGGGGTGCGAGGGGAGGAGCAGGGCGGGGGGACCAGCATGGGGGGGGGGGGGGGGGGGGGCGTCCAGAGCCCTCGCTGATCCCGCTCCCACACACCTCGCTGGCCTTCGCCACCCGAAGCCCCGCGGCCCACTCACCTGCTCCCTGGTGTCTCCCCACCAGCACATCAGCGCCCACCATGCAGCCCATGCCCAGGATGCAGACCACGATGCCCAGGAAGTGCACGGCCTTGTACCGGACCAGCAGGAAGAACCAGGACAACAGGATCACCACCGGGATCACGAAGCAGTCCAGGAGCTGTGGGAGAGGGGGCACAGGAGAGGGGCTCAGGGGCGCAGGGCACAGGGCAGGAGCGCCCCCGCGAGAGGACTCCCGGACTGACCACTGGGGACATTGGGGCACAGGCAGACTCCATCCCTGTCCTGTCCCCAGCTCTACTCTGACAGTTGTACGAGGGCCCCAGTGTCCCCTCCCAGGCCCTAGCTGTCTGCATTGACCTTCAGAGCGGACACAAAATCTGGCAGTAATTTCTCCCAGACGTCATCCCTTCAGACACAACAGAAGTTATTTGTCTGTCCTGGTCATTTCATTCTAAGAAGAAATTGCTCCAAATATTAATATTAGTCTCAACACTTGAAAAATATGTTAATGATATTGTTGTTTAAAAATAATGTGATAAAGATTGAGCAGAAAGGCCCTGGAGCTGAGCAGCGCCTCACGCTGTGGGCAGCTGTGTTTGGCCTTAGAGCCACGGGACACAGCTGTTCACCCTGGCCAGGGTCGCCCAGGCCCTTGGTGGGTCTTTAACAGTTAGACACTCCCAAGTCCCAAGGGCAGAGCCACATCCATAAGGTGACACAAACTGTTGGTGTCAGCAGGCATTATAGACAGTGACATCTTTGAACAATCTCTAATGAAGGCCACGGCAGAATGTTTAACTTCCGAGGCTGGAGCCGTGGCCACGGAGTCTGTGACTGCAGATGAGAAACCACTTGGTGGCTGCTTACATAGGAGGTGATTTCTTTAGTGATATTTCTGCCTCCACCTCCTCTACTCTGTACTGGCAAAATAATTTCCAGAAGTTTCCTGAAAGCTTAATTTCTGAGCAAAAAGTTTGTCAGAAGAACACAAAGAGCAGCGTTTAAGTAGCTGTCAACAGCTGGGACTGTTAAAAACAAAAAGTAAAGAAACACAGGAAGCCCTCTGGCTCTGCCATTCGTCTACATAGAGAATTTAACTTTCTTTGCATCTACTTCTCTATCCAAAAGGAAACAAGTATGAAGTGTCAAAACCAAGAGTAAACAAAGGGCCATTATTTCATAACCACCTTATGCTTTGGTAAATCTCAGAGGACATTAAAGCTTACACTTTGGAGAGAAAAGTGCTCGTCATTGTTAGACTGTGTAGCTCCCACGTTTCTCCCTGGAGGATTTAAGCTTATTTACTTCCCTAGGTATAAATCCTCGATGAGACCCTCAGAGGCCCTGGATCGTTGTCTGGTCTTTCTTTTCCTTCTTTCTTGGTACTGGGGATCAAACTCAGGACCCTGCACTTAGCAGGCAGCCGCTTATGCCCTGAGCTCTCTCCCCAGCCCCCTTGTCTGATTGTTCTGATCAGGGATGTCAAGGGCCCCACTCGCCCAAACCTTGGTGACACCATCACTGTTATGCGGACTTCATTATTTTAAGTGACACAGAAGCTTGTACAAGTTTCCACTTACAACTACAGACATTCCTGATTTGTCAGCTGGGTTTAGCTCCTTCAGCAAGGCCACTAAATATGTTGGTGGCTACATGAGGAGCCATATGTAGCCACGCACATCCCAGCAGCCAGAACAAAGAGCAGTCGTCAGCACCAGCCCCGAGCTGAGGACCCCGCGTCTATGTGCACAGCTCTTACGTGCATGCTGCAGTGTGTGACATACAGCAAGATCACAGTGCTGCACAGCGCAGTCAGCAAAGAGTACAGAGCTATATACGCGAGGTGTGCTGTACAGCAGCCACTCGGAGGCTCCGCCAACAAAATGCACAGAGCTGCACAAAAGAAAGCGGTGGGTGGTCACACTGTGGGTTGTGAGTAGCCTAGCGGGTCTTGGCTGAAAGCCCGCAAGTCACCAGCAGGCCGGGTGGTAAGCAAGGGATGTCTGTATTTCCTGACACATATGCTGTAACACAGAGGAAAAGAAAATCCTGAAGAGACATTTCAGAAAATGTCCACAGCTTTCTGGTTTTGTACCTACAAGCTGCAGGGTGGCGCAGCACACTTGTCTTCAGTGTGTGGCCTCGCCCGCCTCAGAAGGGGAGCAGGGCTCCACTGCGCTTCCGTCCCAGTAATCGTCTCCTTGCGCTGCCCTGGGCCTGCAGGGTGCCACGCCTGCTCTCCTCTCCACTGCCTGTGCTCTGTTCGACCCACTTATGTCTTCCTGTAGCATCCAACTGCTAGAAAATAATAGCTGCCATTTTTGTAACTCAAACTGGTTGAATATTGGCGTTTTCCCATGGCTCAGCTGGAAGACCCGAGGAAGCGAACACAGACTGTCTAAAAGGCTGCAGCTGAAGCCTGAGCATCCCCACTGTGCTGCCCAAGGTGGCGTGGCCTTCACACGAGGGCAGATGTGTTGTGGTGGGCACCGCCACGCCTCTCTCCCCCAGACATCTCTCCAGCCAGGGACTCCCCCAGCACACACACACACACACACACACACACACAGTGGCAGGAGTGAAGCTCTCCGAGATGGCTCCTAACCTTCCCACTGAGCGTCACCATCCTGCCGGGGGTGGAGTCCTGCCTTCCTCCCACCCTGGATCTGTGGCCTCCTCTTAGGTGGGATGTGTGAGAAGAGGGAAGATGTCTTCCTGGTTTAGCGGTGTCCTGGGGAACAGGGACACTCCTGCCACGCTCCCTGGGGCCTGCTTGGTTTGTGTCAGCAGGAAGCACCTTTCTGGGTCATGAACCTACACACCTTAATGTGAGGCGTCAGAGACTGCGGAAGAAGGAGTCAGAGCCTGTCGCTGCGGCACTAGCCACGGCCGAGAGGAGTGACCCAGACCTCACAGCTCCATGGCCCGATTCCAGGGGCGTCCGCGCCTCCTCTCTGGGGCACTCATTACTTTCACAGTGTCTGAGACACCCGGCTGTAAGAGTATAACGAGCTGCCAGTCAGTCTTTCCAACAGGAAGCAATGGTTCCGCAGAGTGTTCTGAGGTGCTCACAAGCCCCGGCCCTGATCCTGTAGGCGCTGAGGTGCCGCGGCTCTGCCCAGAGCTCTCTGCCCACGACAGAGCCATCTGCCCCTTGTCAGTGCTGCCCTCCAGCTAACCGTGCAGCTGTCACTGGCAGGTGGCACCAGGAGAGCGGCACTGCCCGGCACTTGCTTCCTCCATGTCCAGCTGGCAACTGTCACAGTCTTCTAATGTGACACATATGTAAATTTATCTCTGCTGAACAGGGCTGAAGCAGTAGTGGGGCCGTCTGCAACCATGGGAACATGCACTCCACAGAACCCTCTGTGGCTGCCAGTCCAGATGACAGAAGGCACCACCTTTCAGGGACCGCAGTCACGTGCCCTCAACCCATCCCGACTCCTGGCCCCTGGGAGTCCGAGCAGGGCATCCCGGCTCCCAGTCCTTTGCCCAGACTGGCCTCCCATTCCAGGGCTGTCTCATCCACACCTTCCTCACCCTGTGCCCATTCACATTTAGGTTTGGACACTACCTTAGGGTATTCACCCTGAGGAAGCTATACACCTGCCTGCTCACCAAGGGACCTGAGCTAAGGAAGGTCTCGCTGCGCTGACCACGGGGCAGCTCCTTTCCAGGCCAGGCTCTACGTGAATGATTCATAGAAAGATTTTCACAACACCATTTTCCTCTGCTTTCACTGATAAGGATTTCACTGGCCATGCTGCCTGCCAGCAGCGCTTCCTGGTTACTCAAGCACATTGACTTCTGTGATTTCAGAGAAAGAGAGGGAGAGAGAGGGAGAGAGAGGGAGAGAGGGAGAGAGAGAGAGAGAGAGAGAGAGAGAGAGAGAGAGAGAGAACCCTGCTGTGCACTGAAATCTGGGACAAACACCCAGAATCTTGGTGAGGGTACACGCAAATCATTTGATACAGCCCCTGGCTCCTTAGGAGCAGGGCAGAGCAGGGAGCGCAGATTCCTGCTGACCAGCAACCTCAAGCACATCAAAACTTTAATCACCATGCGCTCAATGCATCAGCCACTAGGTCCCAAAGCAAGAAGCAAGCGACGGCACCCACTTTAGCCTCCTGTGGGTGAGGGGCCAGGGTCTTATCTGTCCGGATTCACAGGTGAAGGAGGAGGTGACTTTCTTGAAGCCGCATGGCAGTGAGCGTGAGCTGGTGAGCCCTGACCTGGTGCACACGCAGCCAGCCTGAGGAATCAGGCCCGGCAGGGCAGGAGTGCCAGCAGGCTGTGGAGCTTATGCCCTCCATGGAACCAGGCGCCCTTGACAAATGACCCCTGCCTGGGAGTGCCCCCCGGGTAGTGGGACGTGGGTCTCAGCCAGCCGAGCCCTAACTCAACAGGACTCACGGGCATCGGAATGTGAAGGATGACATTAATATGTTTTGGAGCTTGTAGTGAAAGAAGTGAAAGTTTTATGATAAAATATTAATCCTACATTAATTTTTCATTACTTTTGATTCCTCCAAGCATAAAATAGCAGAGAGAAACAATTTCAAAGCTAGAGGAAAACATCTTGTACTTTTGGGAATCTATTTCTAGCCTAACTCGCTATTCTGAGTTTTGTTAGGAAAAAGGGAAAATCCGACAGTCGGCATTTATTTCTTGGAGCATCTGGCAACTATCGAACGCCTACTGTGTGCCCAGCCCTGCCACGGTCCTGGGTGCCAAGGAAGGAGGGCTGCTCAGGCCAAGCGGACAGCTAGCAGGGGGCATGATTTTTCCGCAGGTCACGGGGAGGTGTGGCTGGCACTCGAGGTCATGCTGTCCTTGCCGGAGCCTTGCTCCACTTTCTCTGTCCTTTCTGTGCGCTGCTGGGTCCCACAGGCCACACCGTACCCCGATTCTCCACCCAGCTGCTCCGTAGAGCTCGGCTCTTACTCCTTACTTCCCGTCGGGCATGAGTATGGGTCCTCTGTCCCTGCCTCTGGCATCCCGACCCTGCCTGCTCCTCAAAGTCCCACCAGAGCAGAGCCCTCAGCCAGGACCCCCAAGTCTGGACAGTGTCCTCTTGCCTCCCTCCTCCTGTGAGTTCTGGGGGCTGAACCAAGGGCCTTTGCAGTGCACTGTGTCCTCAGCCCACTCCCCCCTTTT